AGATACCTTTCCAAAACTTCCTTCCAATAGAGTGAGAGGACTCCCTTGAGTGATCTCTGTAGATGCAGCAATAGATCAAGTAGCAGGCTGTAGAGTGGCATGTGCTGGGAATGGCCATGACACTCAGGGCTATGTCACTGCCCCTTCTATCCTGCAGCAATCCCTTGCCTTCCCTCCCCTCCTATTTCTATTTGTCTGTTTGGATAAAAAGCTCATAACTGCTGCTGCTTTATTTCCCGCTGTGTTTATAGAACTCCTTGCACCATATGACCTTCATTCCAAGTACTTCCAATGCACACATTACAAACTGTTGCCTCCTCTATGCATTTGTGCTTTTTACTATTTGCAGCTTGCTTGGCCTGAAGCCATCCTTGGTGCACCAACAACCCTTTCCTTTCTTTCATTCACATCTTCCTTATACATATTCTTACTCATCAACTTGCGAAATAATGATTACTTGTTTGATTTCTCAAAAACTGAAATGCAGCTTTGTGCAAGAACAATGACTGACCTCACTTAGTCATAATGGCTAAAAAGTGGAAAATCTGACTACGACACCGTCTTTGCTGTCTACAAACAGCAATAATGTGGTGGCCATACTAAAGAGAGGAAGCTTGAAGGCCTGGTAGCATACCAGGAACATGCTCACATCTTGTGTACAGGCAAAGAAGGACTTATTTAATTATGACCTTGCCCAAATCACAGTCTCTTCAAGGGCAGAGTGACTATGAAGTGCTGGCTCACTGACTTCCAGGGAAGCCACTCAGAGAAGGGTTTATTAAATGAGACAGCTGCGCTTTTATTAAGCTGAGAGCATGATGCTTTCCTCTGTTCCCATCAGGGTAGTAGTACTTCATTACATGGTTACACCAATCCTGATCCTAAGCACCTAATTTTTCTTAAACTCTGAAAAGACAAATTATCTCCTTTAAATGGATTTTCATAGAACCTTAAGCATTAAGAAGCAAACTGATCACTTCAGTTTGACAGCTCATTGTTAGTTACACGCCTGCAGTTTTATAAAGCTGTGACCTTGGTGAAGAAGCTTCACTCTTCATGACCAGTCTGACACTGACCCACCTGAACAAGGCCATTGACAAGCTGGAGCACACTATGTCCAAGGACCTTATGCCATCTCTGCTCACACACTCTGGTATCACCAGGAGCTTTAACCTTATTATCTCTTAAATCTTTGAACTATTGGTTGTGAAAAAGAATGTAAATTGCTGTTCGTATGAGCACACCATCAAAACAAACACCTAATAGCTTTCCCACAACAAAGTGCTGATATATTTCACACTTTCCCTAGTTCTTGTAACTGTAAGAAAGAAAATAAACAATGATGAATTAATTGGATTACCTAATTTCCTCAAGGTGATTTGACACTCATAAATGAGGGCAGAGAAAATAGATGTTAATAGCATTTTCTCTCATCACTTGGAATTTGGACATCTACTGTACACAGCATTCCTTTGATTTTTAAGGAAGGAATGAATTCCATTTGATGGTTACTTTATTATTACTTTCCTACATTTTTCTTTATAATAGTTGGCACTTGATCTTGTCTTGATCTGTGCTTGTGTTCAAAGCAGAATCTGGTTATTAAGCCTGTTGATCTTCATATTGGCTAGTTGTTGTCAATTCAGTGAAATTACTTGATTCTATTCCACTGTGCCACCTTTAACCATCCAACTGCCTCTCAGAAGGTTCCTTTCTCCTCTTTATACTTCTCAGTTTCCTGCCTTCATTTAAACCTGTGTTCCTTCCAGTCCTAATGTCTCCTACAATATATATTCACTTATTCGGGAGCTTAAAATCTAAGGGAGGGGAAGCAAAACAAATCAAATCAAAACAAAACAAAAAGGCCAACCCCCAAGCCCATATGTTAAGTAAAAATCAAAATCCACTCTTGTCTTTCTTATTACTGGCTACAGTTCCTGTTTAGGTCTAAAGCTAGGCTTGAGTCCATTAAGATGACTTGTTTGGGTAAGAAGCAAACCCATGCACAGATACAACAAAATCAGCTTTATTTGTTTTGGCCAGGGGGATTTGCTTGCTCAGATCACATTGCAGGAGTCAGAACTGCTCCAGCTCCAAAGCTGAGCGAGGGCCTGACTCTGTCCTCACATATGTGATGTGACCTGGAATAACTGCCCTTGGTTATAAATCTCCCATGCAAGAAATCAGAACCAGAAGCAAATTGTACAACACATCATACACTTTGTGTAATAGAGGAATGAGTAAAAATCAGTTGCAAAGCACAGTCCAACTTACTTGTCTTCATCCCCATGTTAGGCTGTAAAATACACAGGCTGGAAAGCAAGTGTCTTGCATACTTTTCATTTAACTCACAAGGCTGATTCATGCCAGTTAATGCTGAAACCCCACCTCATAATTGGGAGAAGTAATTTCCATTCCATGAGTTTTGCTTGAAGCTAATGTATGCTATTACAAAACACCTAAAGTAAAACTTTAACCATTTCTCTTAGCCCAGCTGTGAAGTTCAAACTGCTTTTTAAAGTTAATTATCATGCTCTGACCTGCACATATGCACATGTTAAATACAAATAAATCAATATAGCAAGCTTGTTCTTGTTTCAATTTGCTTTTTAAAATTAGCATTCTCTGGCTTTGCCTATCAGATATGAGTGTGATGGTATCTCACAGATTAAAGTTTTGCATTTGTCTCTTTGTAGTTCATTTGCTATTTTATAAGCCCAAAGTCCATGAGGGAGTGTTGGAAAGCCCCATAATTTTCCTCAGTGTTCCATTTTACCTTTTTATCTCCAATGTAGCTAGTACATGTGAGGAAGTGCAGCTAGCCAGATGGCCCTGCAGTGTCCATACATACCCAAAATCCCTGACAAACACAAGTGACTTAAACTAACGGTGATGTTGATTCATGCTTGAGCATATTCTTTTTGTTCTCTTTATTTTAAGAAGTATGTGTTTGTGCTTTTATCTAGAAAATCAGCACTATAAAGGAAAAAAAAAGTAGACTTTTTCTATTAAAGGAAAAATATTTGGGGAGAACACAATCATCATAAATTCTAGTGTTTGCATTTCATGGTAACATACTTTTTTTTCTCTCTGACTGGTATTGCCATCTATTACACATCTCCCCTAAATCTCCTAAAAGAGAAAGATTTTCGTATTTGTTCTGTGGTTTTCTGTATATTTTCCTTTGAATCACCCTGTGTAGATCACAGCAAGAGGGAGAACACTGGATTGGCTGATTCACTCTGTTGCTTGGCATGATAATCTCTAATTGCACTTAGTTGTGGGGATTTTCCAAAGCAAAAAAGTGACTTCTCTTTTTGCCAGGATGCTGCTGTCCATTGGAGGCATTTGAACATCACCACAATACAAGGATGAGCAGCATCATGTTCACAACCACACTACCTGCCTGTGGAGAGAACTGAGGGCTTAGTTTAAACCATTCTCTGGGACAGCAAGTGTTCACACATTTCTCTGTAGTTTATTTGTGTTAAGGAGGAGAAGTGGAAGACCACAAATGTTTTTAAGGACTTGTGATCTCAAGAGTTTGGTTCATCTAAAGGCATCAGTAAATTAATCTTCAAGACACGATCTGAAGTGGATTAAGCTTTCAAAAATTCCGGATCCATTTATTTTCTGGCATCAGCTGCAAATTTGACTTTTCATTTGAGAGGTCAGACCATCCCATACTTTTGTATCCTCTGGTGTGGCAAGTGCCATACAATATTGCAATTTCTTGTTTGAAGAAAGTACTAACTGCTAGCCTGGCACTGAAGCCTGGAAATACACTATCTTTGAAATACCTGTGACCCTCACTCATGCAAAAGAGCATTTACACAAAGTAACTGACAGACAGCTCATAAAGATACCCACATATAAAGACAAAAATTTATTTAGTCAGGGTGCTGTATTCAGGCTACTCCCTGATCTCTGGCTATATACCACCACTATTATTGACTGCTTTGGTTAGCATGGCCAGAGCGTGTAATAGCTGGAAACAAAACTCGAACTTGAGCATGTGCACATTCATTGTGGGTACTTGTTTACTTGTTAACATATTACTGGCTGTGGGAGATGTCTCCAAGTGCACCACAGGATGAGCTCCCTCCAAATCCTGCTGTAACAGTGCACTGCTGAGTGACCCACACTGCCTCAACCGGATCAGAGATAATCCCTTTCTCTACAAAAGTGAAAATCTTGATCCAAATGAAGTTTGCAGCCAGCAGGCCAGAGAAGCACAGAATATGCTTGCAAGAGAGTTTAGGAAAACCTAAGCCAAAACCTAAGTGCTGTTGCTTGGAAAATCCTCGGCTTTAAAGGAGTCAACACCTTGGGTAAAATTTTCAGTGTAAGAGCAGAAATCTCACCAGATGGGAAACACTGCTCAGTGTATCTTGAGGAAAACTGAGCTTGAGCAAATACAGCTTCCAATCTCCGCAAAATAGCTTCTGAAAGCTGGGGTAAAACACCTGGATCAATCAGGGGGATGAATATAACCACTGCTTTAACAGTTCTGTTACTATTCTTCGCTTTTAAAGTCTCAGACAGAGCAAACAGTTCGAGGGGAGTGGGGGGAAGAGCCCCTCCGAGGGGTCTGCCTGTCAGCCGGTTCCCCTCACGGCAGCCGCTCTCACTCCCTCTTCACAGTGACACCTACCGGCTCCGACCCCTGCGCTCCGCTCCCCGCCCGAGCCGCTCTGCCCCGGCCCCGCCGCCTCGCCCGGCTCTGCCCCGGCCCCAGCAGCGCTGCCAGCCCCGGCACCACCCGCCCGGCGGGGCAGAAACTTTCCCGGCGAGTTTCGCTGCCGCGGCCCGGTGCGCGATGGGGCGGGGGGGAGCCGCGGCCCGGCCCCGCGGGCCCGGCGGGCGCTGCGCCCCTGCGGCTGCCGGCGGCCCCGCGGCGCTGCCCGGGGCGGGCGGACGGGCCGGGCGGCGGCCGCCGGCGCGCAGGGCGGGGTGTGGCCTCGCCGGTATTTATGAGCTCCAGCCCCTATTTGCTCAGCTAATGATGCACCGGCGGCCGCCGAGCCTCGCCTCGCCTCAGCGGCGGCCAGGGAAGGGCAGCGCCTGTAACTGGAAACCAGTGCCGGCACCGCGCGGCCGCTCCATTCACTCCTAGGTGCGGATTGCGCGCAGGGGAGAAGCGCTCCCTGAGCCTCAGGAGTCCACTGCCAGGATTATTGTACAGAGGAGCCGGGAGTATCTTTGCAACCACCACGAGGAGAGACTTTCCTCTTTTTTTTTTTTTTTCTTTTCCTTTTTTTTTTTTTTTTTTTATTTTTTTTTCCCTCTACCGTGAGCCAGGTTTGGAATTAAAATGTTCTGGTAGCAGGAGTGGAGTCTATAAACTGATAGAAACCAGTTAGAAATCAGTATTGCTGCTGCTTCTGATAGCCGGGTAAGCATAACTTAAAGTTCTCATTCTTTTCTGTAATAGATGTGAAATGTCTCTGATGGTTGAAATTTGCTGCTGTTCACAGATAGTTAAACCAATGCTTTCCAGATTGGCATAGTCCGTGTCTGGCAGGGTTTTCCTGTCTTTTTTTTTCTCCTTCATTTATTTTCTTTACTTTGCCAAATGATTTTCCCTCCAGGATTTAGGGGTAGGACCCAGGCTGTAGCAGATGACACCTGCACAGCACTTCCTCGCAAAGCGATACTGTACTTTGCAGAAGCCATGCAACATGCTGCCAGCGACCTCCGTGGCAGGAAAACTTCACTATTTCACTTTCGTAGCGATTGTCTGTTTGTTTACACTTAGACTAGAATGTAAAAACAGAAATGCAACGAGACACTGCTTTTTGTCTGTCCTGTAGGATTCTTTTAAAGTACTTGCAAAGCTTTAGGTCTGTGTGTTGTCAGCGGAGATCATGTGCACTGGACGTGCTGAATATAGTATCATGACTTACTGAGATAAATTCAGAGCTGGGATATAAGCCCAAAGCAAGAGTCAAACCTGCAACGAGCTGTCAGTTACCAGCTCTGTAAATCTCTGAAATTAAACCTATTTCCATTAGGTAACTCACATGTCAGACACCCTGAGGTACCTTTTTGGCATTATATGCATATATTATTTATGTGTCTAACAGCTGGGTAGGAACCATGCTGTTCAGCACTTGAATCTTATATTTGCCTGTCACTTTTGTGTTAATGGTGAAGATCTGCAATTTGAGCAATGAAATGTAGCAATGTTTCACTCCTCTAACTGATTACGCCAGAATTGGCAGGAGGCACGAGAGTGGGAGGGAAAGAGAGCTGAAAGGGTTTTTTTTTTTTTTCTATTATTGTTTCCTACAGTATTATTTAAAGGAAGAAAGCGGCACACTTGTTCCACACTTGACTTTTTATCTATATTGCAAAGAAAGCACAGTGCTACTACTGTAAAATACTTATCCCATTGCGTCTATTAAATCACATGTTCTGTATGATTGGCTATTTATTTTGGCTTGACAAATTTTATTGGGATTTAATGGCATTTCTCTCTTAGAAGAGGAGTAAGTTAAAGGGTATCCCATGGGCAAGTCGCAAGGTTTTAAATTTAAAGCCCACAAAGCAACATTATTACTAGAGTTCGTGCAGCCTGTTAAAGAATTATTCTTGGCAAAAGCTCTGCAACTATCATTTTATTAGTTAACAGACCCTTAGAGATAATTTGGAACTGGGCCAGAATGGATATGCTTTTCCTACAGACCCGATCTGTAGCTGGCAAATTTCTGACAAGGTTGTTTTTGTCAATTAGCAGAGTTATAGAATTACTATGATCTCCGTGCATTTCTCAGTACTCAGAGCAAATAATGAAGAAGAATTTAGTTCGTGTGGGCTGCAGAGCTCTGCGCTTTTATGTATGCTCTCCTTCCCACCCCCAATTTGATGTGAAGTCTTCATGCAAAGAGAATCCTTTCCAAGCGATTTCCAGTGAGTGGACAGGGAATGACAGAGGTGGTAATGGGATATGGGGCTTTTACCGCTAAGTCAGTGATGTGGATCCAGCCCAAGCTAGTGCTGACCTAAAGTCATCCCTGCCCGACAGCTCATTCCTGCTGTGCTGGGGTGGTTGGAGCTGGTCCTGTAAGGACAGGTGTGAACCTCAGAGGGGCAGGATGAACAAGCCTGTAGAAATATTGGCTTCCACTGGAGGGACTGTAGTGCTGGAGCAGAGCTGAGGTGAAGAATGGTAAGCTGACTGCACAAGTAACAAGTCTCTTTATAAAATAAATGTACATCCTTTAAGAATATCTCCTAGCTGTAGGGATTGTGTCTTTCAAAGTGCTTCCAGTTGCCATAAAATCAAGTGTATCACCTGAGTGATTAACTAGTAAGTGGTGTCAAGTAGAAGGGCTATTTACATAAAAAAGAAATTTTATATATATATATAGGCAGTGTTTAGTCAAATTGGCCTAAAATGTTGGTGTTATGTATTCTCACTTTTGGAGCTGAGCTGACAAAGTTGTTACTATAGGCAAAATGAAATTTGCACTTCACAGTTTTTGGAGAGATGCAGTTTAGTAGCAGATGTGATACAGATATGCAGTATTCAGCTTCTAATGGTGGCTGGGTTTTTTGGATCTGGTCCAAAGTCCATTAGAAAAGCCACTTTCATGTAGTGATTCCAGTGACCTCAAGTACTTCCTGACCTACTGATACTGAGTTCTGGAGTGTTTTCTGATTCTCTGAGATGCTCAGGTTTCTCAGCAGCTAACTCCTATAAAATGAAGGCTCAGCAGAAGTGCAGGAGGAGTAGCAGATATATCAGGTGTGGTGTCATTGTCCAGCTCTGGGATTCGTAGTGCCCTGTAGAAGTCAATGAGAGCAGATGGGTATCGTGAAAGGAGCTAGCTGAAAAAGCAAACGTTGACTAACAGTTTCAAGTGTGTTGAAATACTTTTGGTTTCACAGTTTTGGAATTAATGATGTACACAGACAGAATTTCTTTAAAGAAAAACTTGAGGGTGATTAGAATGTATTAGTATATTTTACTAAAACTTAAAGCTCATTTCCAAGCACCTTTGATTTCAGATGTTTAAATAAAAGAAAAAAACCCTAAACAACCAACAACCCAAACCTCCCCCCTTAACATGAGAGAGATGTCTAAAAATATCAGCCAGATTTTTATTCGTGAAACTTTATCTCCTGTCCTTGCTTTGCTCTGCCTTGACATTTAGTATAATTATATTTCCAGCAGGTGGAATTGTCTTCATTCTAAATAAACTGAGTCTAATGCTATAGTCTGCCCTAGCCAAAAGCTGGGCTCTCTTGGTTCCTACTAACAGGCAGAGAATTCCTCTTGTGCCAGCACAGAAGACTGCTGGGGAAAACCACTTTCAGATGCACAAAGAAAAAACAAAAGTGCTGTACCTCCTTCATATCAGTAATTATGGCTTCATCTGAAAGAGGCCTCCAACACAATCTTTCCATATTTTTGTTTTTGCTCCACAAGATTGTATGAGAAGAGTAATGTGATATATCTCTCTTTCAGGTTTCATTTCTTGGATATTAAGTTGCAAATCTGAAGAGATGGCATTTATTGCAGTGAACGTGTTGATTGGGATATTTATTTACTTTAGCAGTGTAAAAGGATCTTCCCAGCCTCAAGCAAGGGTGTTCCTAACATTCAATGGTAAGAAGATAAACATTCTTAAACAAATATTATGACTGAACATTTTCTTCATCTCCTTAAATTCAATAACTGAGTAGAAACTGGCATTTTGGTCTGTGTCCAAATTACAATTTTTAGTTTGTTGCTGAGGCACCTGTCAGCCTAAATTTGATTCTCTTACCAGAGTCTACCTATCACTATAAATGCATAATTAATATATAATTAATAATTAGTAGGCTTTTCTCTTTATTTTAAATTATTATGACTTACAAACAACTAAAGGTTTATTTCTTATCTGTAATTTTCAGGCACAGAGTCCTTTGAAAAAAATGTCATTCCTTATGCACTTTGTGCTCTGTGTAGGATGTACATAGCCTGTTGCAATCACTGATGCCTTCATACTGTAAACCAGCAATGAAAATTATCATTTTCAAAAGAAATTTTCTTTTACTTCTGAAGTGCTGAGCAGTACCTCATTGCTGCAATTATGCCAGTATTGCTTTTAATAGTAAAGTAATTTATTATTCTAGTTACTTAATTGCTTAATAGTTAAATGATGATTTTAGCCACCACTTCAGAATGTGTGTGTTCTTCAGTTTACCGTGTCTGTTAAATCTGAGCTGAAACTTTCTGTCACTAGTTGTAGAGGCACTGAGCTTCTCCAGCCCTCTGCCTTTTCTGTTATTGTCTTTGAGGCATGAGGGCTTGCACCAATACTGCTTGCATTGGGATGGCTTCTGTGGTTCATTAGGGCTGGGATGCCCTGCCACTGCCTTGGGAATATTCTGTGTGCTCTGAGCAATCTTTAAGAATTGCTTTAAAAATAGTCAGAGCTAGCAAGTATCTCAAAATTCTGCTTGCTACAATGATCAATAGCTACGCAAACATGAGTGAGAGATATCCAGAAGGAGACTGCCAAGTTAGACCTACAAGTACCAACCAGGGTTTGAATAATTATAATCTACAATAAGGGGCCCTAATCTGATGAATGCACTACTTAATAGGTGTAAAATAGCATGGGTCAAGTAAAAGCAATAGTAAGAATTGTGTTCCAAGAGGGAATTCAAATGAAGAAGTATGGTTAGGAATCTCTCTTCCTTGTTCAAAGTCTGCACTGATTTTGGTGGAGATGGTGCTGTTTTGGCACAACTCAACACAGAAGCTAGTTTGGCTGTGGTTATGTGTTACATTGCAGGTCTGCCACAGTTATGCAGAACAGGCTGATTTAGATTGCCACATCATCTCCTTGGTGGCCTTGAAAGTAATCTAAGCTTCCCTTGATCTCTGGTATGACCATGAAGTAGGAAGTGTTCATGTTTTGTGGTATTCAACCTTGTGAATGGGAAAGAATTATAATGAGAAGCAAATGGTTTTAACAGAAACTCAAGAGCTTTTGTTTCATCACAGGTATCCTGCAAGGCTGAAACAGTGAAGCAGCCATAGGGCGAAGGACCCCAAACCTAGGAATTTTAAAAAAGAATTGAATTAAGTTGCTGTGTCCCTGAAAAGAGGTTGTCCCTCCTTCCTTTAGAAGGGGCTATGACAGCTTTATGCTGCAGTGATCCCTTTGTCTTGGTCAGGTTCTTGGGCCCCAAGAGCTCCGTGCCCTGTGCCAGCCCTGGGGACACAGCCTTGCCTCACTAGTTCTGCTGTAACCCTCCTTGGCTGCTTTGCTTAGAGAGCCTTGCAACAATATCTGATTTTCCTAAAAGTGACTTTTTACTCTCCCTAATACTTAACAGCCAACCTTTAGAAAAGAAATTACAGTTTTAAGTCCTAAATTTTTATTGGGTCTTTTGAAGTCATAAAAGTAAAAAATGAATTATGTGTTTTTATAATATGAGAAGTATGTCTGGAATAAAAAGCTAAGCTTTTTGTGTAATATATAAACAGAAGTTATATTTTTAAACCTGATTTCCAGATGGTAAGAAACAACTTTCATTATGTGAAAAAAGTTTGCAGGTTGTTGTGTATACCAAGGTAATGGCTCCACCTGTAGTATGAGCTTCTGTTTTACAAATATTTACTTACATGAGCAGAGATGTAATAGAAGAAGATGAAACTTTTTATTCTTCTCCATTTCAGTGTGATAAGACACTTTGTTCATAAGCTGCTTCATAACTTTTTGTTTGTAAATCATGTAGAAATACCAAGTTATTTGGCAGTCTCCTTGCCCTGAGAAGCTGTCAGGTTTTATGTAGAATTGTCACTCTTTTAAAGTGCAGCGTTTGAAAATAAAACCATAATTAGGACTCCTTATGTTTAAATGACATCAGACAATAAAGACAAGTCATTCAAGCTTAGGATACTTAGTGATATTTTTCTAGTTCTGAATTGGATTTGGCTTGGTGTCTACAATTACATTGTGTAAGTTTTGGGGGTAGAGTGTATACAGGAGGAGAAAGTGAGTGATGCTTTTCAAAGCTAACCTGCTCCTGTAGGATCAAGTCAATTGAGCTTATTCACATTGCAGCATTTCTCATGGGAAAATCCAGCAAGTATCTTGACCTATTCTGTTTTTAATCAGGAAAGATAAAAATGCGAATCATTTGAATCATGGGCTGCTTTTCTCTTTGCCATCTACTTCATTAAGAATCAAATGTAATTAAAAAGTGCGCCTGGGTAATACCTCAAGAGCCTGATAATAGGGATTTTGCAATTAACTTCAATGGATGAAGGACTGCAACCCTAACTTCTATTTCTGAAATCAAAAGCCTGGCCCCTTGTCTAATTAAAATGTAGTTCATGACTTAGCTGAGGTTGTTAACTGTGCGTATGACGTGAGTGTGGAACTTACTGCTGTCTGCACCCTGTCTTGGAAATTGTGGCGCTGTACAGAACCCCGAGGCCTGATTCCTATTGCCTGCAGCTTGTATAGCCATTTACTCAGCTGAAAGGAGAGGTCAGGCTGGAGCTGAACTGCAGCTTTGCTCAGGTGAACGTGGTTATACAGGGGCCTGGGCCTATGGAGAACCAGGCAAAGGGGCTCTCAATGTGCCTGGAGCAATTTCCTGTGACATGATTGTCCTGTTCATGGTGATGGCTCAAACCACTGGTACTTGTACAGTGTCTGCACTTGAAGAGCCACTGCAGCTGAAGAAAAAAAGATGGCCCCAGGCTTTTCTGATTCTGAAATTGCAAAGATGTAAAGCCTGTTGGGCAGCAGTGTTGGGAATCATCTGCTGTGTTCCTGTTGAGCACACAGGCGTGAGGGAACCTGGGGTGGGAGAAGCAAAGGACTCAACATGTCTCCCTGCACTACTGGTATACTATTCCCCCTCCTGCTGCCTCTTCTGGCTTCTTGTCCCTGGAATAGATATTTTTTAACCTACTTAAATCACCTATCACAATTTAAAGCCATAGTTTATTTTCTCTTCATAGCACAAGGCTTACCTTACCTGTTTATGAACTATCAAGTGTGGTGCCTGCTGTTTTTCAAGCTCCATGCATTCCTCCTTGTCACTGCACTTTCCTGAACAGATAATTGGGAGCTGTATCCTTCAGTCTTCACAGGGAAAAAAGCCTTTCTGAAATCAGTGGGAGTATTACCAGAATAAGGAAGGAGGTACTAGACTCCAGGTTAATATAAGACTTTGTTTCACTCCAACTCACATTTACTTTTTGGGTTTTGTTGCAGACCTAAAATGCTGAGCCATACCATTTTAACATCAAATTCTGAATTGATTGAAGCAGATGGAGTACTTGTTTTTTAAAACTCATTCACACTCACACAAACCTTCTTTTGGATTTAAATTTGTACTGTGATACACAACAAAATGATAATTGCACAATTTGCTGGGAACACTTAATGCATTCCTACCTTAAATGTCTGGTCTAGCAGATATTTCCCATGCAGACTTTCCTATTGTCTGCAGTGAAAATTCCATATGAGAAGTGGATCAAGGCTAATTTGCAGACAGTTTTGTTCTTCTCTTTGTTATAAAATTACTAGAACACGTAAAGGAATTTTAAGAAAGTATCAGTCAGATTCATTAATGACAATTAAAGTGCATAAAATGTCACCAGAGCAACTGCAGCGCTTATTCAACTGTCAACATATTTTAAAAGATTTAATGCAACCCCTGTGGTTACCCTCAAGGAAAAATAAAGGAACTGAGAACCATTTTCCTTGAGCTCTTGAGCAACAGCAGTACAACTTGTTTTTAAACAATCCCTCATTGTAATGTTAATGTTACCACAGTTAATAAAAAGTTCATTTATTATTTGGGGGACTTTGTGCTGATGACAGTCTAGTAGGCAAAGGTTTACGCTAATATAGTTGATTGGATCTTTTTTGGTGTCCATGGAATGAAAGTTATTTATGAAATAAATAAAAGCATTAAAAGAGGAAAAAACAAGAGAGAGAAGAGATCCATGGTTTAATTTTGTTTACATGCAGGACTTACCCTGAATGTTCATATAGTTGCTTGATTTTCAGCAAATTACGAGTAATATTTTCTCAAAATTAACTGATTTGGGGCTCTCACATCTTCATGGATCTTAAATAATGTTAATTTATAAAGTGTTGAAAATCAGTGATGTGAAAATTTCTCCAGTTTGTCTCTCACTGGAGATCTAAAAAACTTTAATACATACAACTAAAAAAAATATTGTTAAAGGAAGCATTATACAAAAACCTCTGTATTCTTTCTAGAGTTCCATGGTTAAAGGTTCTACATGCCAAATTACATTGAATCTGCTTATTTTCACGTTCTTGTTCAGTGCCAGTGTCTTTGAGTTGGCTTGTCATTATTGTTGACGTGAGTGTACAGGAGAGGATAATTTATTCTTTCTCTATTTAGTTAAATTGTGCTATGTGATTTGACTGCAGTTATGAAAATGGTCTTGCAATAAAACTGAAGTCACAGGTGGTGTTTGGTCCAATTCTGTATTTGTGCTCTAAAATTACTGTAAGTGGTACTCTCATGGGAAAGCACAAATAAGTATGTCTTCAAGGTGGTTAATTATCAGGCAACAAAGGTGCCTGATGATTAACAAAGGTAGTTAATTACCAGGCAACA